GCAACAGCTGTTCAAACTGAGCAAAGGGGAGAGAGGGAGAGGGCATGTGTGTGGGGGGCGTCAGTTTAGGCCTCATTTCAATTGTGAAAACCGAGAATTGACAGAGCGCACTTAGCTTTGATTGATTGCCAGCTGATATGAGCCGCAATTGCGGTTAAAGTAATTCAATCGCCAACACCCGAACCACATCAAACGTCCCCAACAGCAGCAGCAGCAGCAGCAGCAACGGCACTAGATGAGGCTGTGTGTGAGTGTGTGTGTGTGTGTGTGTATGGTGGCAAAGCCAAGTGGCACAAGTGACAAAACAGCAACAAAATGTCATAATTGATAGCGACAAGTGACAGCAGCTGAGCTGATGCTGCAAGCAGCAGGACCAGCAGCAACAGCAACCGTCTCAGGAGCAACAGCAACTGTTGCCGGCAGAGGCTCTGTGCCGGATTAAGCGCAAATTGTGTTTATGTTCAACACATAGAAACTGTGACAAGTTAATATACGAGGAGCAACAAATCCGATTATAGGCATGACTTGATTTCATTTGCATGCGGCAATTTGTTGCACGTAGCTGGCCGCCTAATTGCGATGGGGCGGGGCATAAAAATTAATTATGAAAAATTAACAGATGCACGCATACACACATATACACACATACATATATGTACATATCGAGGTGTGTATTCTGTGCATTGGCAAACAAAAGACTTGGACAACGAACGCGTTTGTGCTGCGGCCAGCTCATGTTACACTGGATAGGCTATTCGATTTAATTTAAATTAGTTTATAATTTATTTGATGCCCTTACACACACACACACACACACATGCACTCTTTACACCACACAGACCACACACGGCTCACAAATTATCTCGTAGTCAATTTAAAAGCGTCGCTTAAAATGTTTAATTTAACATAAAATCAACGCACGGCGACAGCCGAGAGTCACATTTACGGCAACAGAAACACATAAACAAGCACATTATTGAGAGCTGAAAAACAACAGGCAAATGGAATAAGAGACTAACAAAGAAACAAAAAAAAAAAAAAAAACAATAACAATCGAACAGAAAACATAACAACAACAACAAGAAAACAGAGCCAATAAGACGCGCAACGCGATAAATTTGTACAATAAAACAAAACTGATTTCCGTCTAATGCGATTGACACCTAAAACACCAAAAATTTCAAATTACAATAAGTATACAAACTCGTCTCCGTACAGCTACCCCCTCCCTCTGCCACTCTCCCTCTCTCTCACTCCCTCTGATTAGTCCCCATGCAGCAACAACAACAAAAAATCGAAATACAAGCACATAAATAATGTTATTAAAATAGACAGACGATTGTGACTTGGGACTCTCGAGCGCCCAAAAACTCGAATCTCGCATCGCTTCACATATCTCGAACGACGCACACAGTCAGCCGGGTCAGCCGGCGGCCAGTTGATTAGCTCATCACTTAGTCCACTAAAAGAGACACTTTCGGCTGACACTGATTGGTCGCTGTGGACCACAACTTGACAACGAGTAGTCAGCGCAAATATACATAAAAACACACACACACACATATATATACGCATATAGAGATATGCCTATTTATATAGCGAGCAACAGTCAAGTTGTCTGTTTATGGACAGCCTATCATTATTTATAGAATTAAATTGTTTAAATCGAAACTCTTCGATTTTTTATCTGCCTGCCTATCCACTTAGGCTTTGAGGTTTTTGCAAAACCTGAGCATCTCCAGCGATTAATTATGCTGATTATTTAGTATATCTAATGCCATTATGAGCCTCGGCTCAGCTGTTGAGACAAATCGATTGCACTTCTTTGGCCTTTGACTGGGGTTTTAGTTCTTTGAAAAATTTTAGCTTGAACTAGAAAATACACATAAAGAATGGGAATGAGAAAAATAGAAAAAAAAATTATATATATGTACATATATTATTTTATTTTACTTTAGATTTTATTCTATGCATAGAAAAACTCTGCAAAACTTTTTTTTATGCCCATTTTTGTTTTTATTTTGCTGGACTTTTTTTTTAACAATCTGTATTTATGTGAATCTATTATTTATATGTTTTTTTAAAGGCGTTTATTTATGTTAGTTTTTAACAGATTTTATTCAAATTTAAAATTATTTTGGAAAGAAAGTTTATGTGAGGGAGTTTAGCGACTGCCAGATGCTCTGTAGTTAGTCTTATGAGGTAGTTTTATTAAGTAACTCTATGGTAATTGCACCAGAAAAATATCTATCATGCAAAAATATAAATAAATATAAATATAGTAGATTTTACACTGATAAAGTTATAATGAGTTTTAGATGTGTAAGATCTATAAAGCCATTCATATTGTTCAGGAATGAAATTGGTATTAATTTATTTATTTCAATGGACCAATGCCAAAGCGAGCGAATATATGGACAATATGTTTAGTATGTAGGTATTCAGTAATCCCAATGCATTGCAATGCTCCAATTATATGCCGTGGGAAAGTATAGCAACCGACAGAAGTTATTAAAAAGGAATTTTAAATAGATAACGTCGCTCTTCTCAGCGAAAATTAGTTGATTCTACCTTACTTAGCTCTCTTTCATTCACACATCATTCCATATACTCCCGCTCTCTCTCTCTCTCTCTCTCTCTCTCTCTCTCTCTCTCTCTGTCTCTCTCTCTCTCTCTTTATCTCTCTCTCGCTTTCTCCCTCTCTTTCACTACACAACCCATATACCCGCTCACACTCACACTAAACAGTGTATAATAAGCTTTTGCTCATAAGTTTCATCTACTTAGGCAAAGAGTTTGACATGTTTATGAAAAACATACATCCATATAGCTGGGCTTATTGCTGACTTAGGCCTGGTTGGCTCTTTAGTTTAAACATTAAAATTAAATAATTCTAGCATTAGCTACGCCGCATGTAAGTTTGTAATTTATGGCCAATAGTTAAGGCCTAACGCATATCGTATGTCTTGCATATGCTGGCTGCTAAACAATTCACATTTTTTGGGCAGACAGAGTTCAAAGCGGTTGCACGCTCAATTCTCTCACATTTCGCCAAGGAGTCAGTTGAACAATTAGCTGGCTGATTTATTGATGTGGAGCAACGACGACGCACAGCGCAATGCTGCAATGCAGCAATGGACCAAGACAGCAACAGCAGCAGCCTGAAGGCTAGGTGCAATGGCCGAGGCGCGTTGCTTACAATTTGATTTGATTTGATGTGCGCCTACGAATGTTGCTCAGTTGCCAAGTTGCCAAGTTGCCCAGTTACCAAGTTGCCAGGTTGCCAGGTTGCCCGCTGCCAGTTGTCGCCAACGTTGTTGTTGCTGCTGGCTGTCGAAACGCATAATCGTAAAATTTGCTGTGGAATGTTGCAATATTTTTGCGAGTAGAGCAATTTGCGCGTGAATTATTCCAAACGTTGCATTTACAAATGATTTTTTGTGCGCAGCGACAACAACTTTAATTGGCCCAACGAGGAAGTCATTGCTCGAGTCGAGTTCAACTATAGTAGAATGCATACAGAAGATGCCCAGCCGACCGAGCGGGCGACCGAGCGACTCCTTTCCCAGTTTCAATTCTTTGCAGCATGCATTCGCACATTTTGCATGGTACGTGACGCAAACAAAAGGCGTTGGTCCAGCCGTTGACATATTCTAAGCAAACGACAGGCCCATAAAATCATATTTCCACTCTGTTTTCCATGAATGTCACACTTGAGTTGCCCGCTTGGTGGGTGCAGCAGCAGCGGCAGCAACAGCAGCGGCAGCAACAGCGGCAGCGGCAGCCACATAGTACGTCTCTATTATTGGTGTGAAGTCATCGCGTGAAACGTTTTTGCAGGCTTCCATTTAATTTCCATGGCCAATGGCTGGCAAATGCATAAACTGTGCACCACTCTCTCTCTCTCTCTCTCTCCAAGCTCTGACTAAGAAGCGGCGAGTGCAGCTGCAGCTGCTGGGCATTGTTTGGCTGGCGGGAGGTGCTTGGCCATGTAGGCAATTCCTGGAAGTTAATTTCATTAAGAGCAACTAGCAATGCGCGTCGTATTTATTAGCCGCACGATACATATACATATCTATATATATAAGTATGTATATATGTACATATATATCTGTTGCATAGGCATTGGCTTTGTTTTCAAGGAATCTGCCGCAGCCGGGCTGCCAGCCAGCCGGCCAACTGGATGTCGCTCGTGTATTTGTGGAATTCATCATCGGCGACAGGCGGGTTCGACTCTTCATCTTCACCCCCTCTGCCTGTACCTCCTCTTCGTCTTCTCCGCTTCCGTCTACAGCTCTAGTTGTTTAGCTCCGTCTGGCCGCGTTAGTTGTTTTGCAATTTTCATAACTTATTGTACATGGAGATCCGGTTGCTGCTAAATAAGGTAAAAATTTCCTTAAGAAAATTTACGCACAAGTGCGATTTCCAGTTAATAAAATTATCCCCAAACATGCCACGCCTCTTCTCGTCTACCCCACGGCCACAGCGAATTCTTATTAATTCTTATCGCAATAACAAAAAAAACGCAACAAAAACAACAAAGATTTCTTAGCGCGGCATCTGCTCAGCCACCTGATCAGGTGTGCGTGTGCGTGTGTGTGTGTGTGTGCGCCTCCATTTGGTCACAGCGATGCCGACAAGTGTTGTACACGCATTCCAAATACTTTTCTATCATTAGCGGCTGCTGTTGCCCCATGTGGTTGGTCCTCGAAGACACGAATGCATGGCATACCTTTGCCTAGTTGCGACATAGATAAATCTATAGAATATCTAATATATATGTATATGTATGTATGTATGTTTGTATATTCATTTATTGTTACATGTAAAACAGACACAGTGTATGAACAGAAATTTTGCAATGGACCTCATTAACATAAATGTTGCACAAAGAAGCAGACACAGAAATAGTTGAAACTAATTTTTAGCTAGCATTTAACACATGTAAGCAAAACTGAACTAAAGTATTATAAAAAGTGTGACAAATGCGAGTATTTCACTATATGGCACAGCCGGACATCTATGTTGCTCTAGTAATAGAAGCGATAGACGCCAAAGAGCACCAGCAGTACAATCAATATGAATAGCTTAGATTTAAGTTTGTATTTGTTATCCAGAGTCCGCCAAGAGCGAGCCAGTGCGTTGAGGGATGAGGCCTGTTCCTGGCGTAGGGAACGGCGTCCCCCAGTGGTGATGCTGCTGGCTGGTACGCTGCGCCTGTAACTGGCGCCACGATCCCCAATTCGTTCGGCGCGCAGGCGTGCCAAGCTGCGAGCAAAGTCGCTTTCAAATTTAACGCCCTGTCCATCCTCTTCAGCGGCATCATCGCTGAATTCATTGCTGTAGGTGCGTGGCGGCGAGCGGCGTATGCTGCTGCTGCTGTGGCCAGGGGTTGAGGATGCTGCAGTTGTGTAGCTCTGGGCTGGTGAGCTTATATAGCTGGAGTAACGTCCAGTCGCAGGACGGTACTCGAAGCTGTTAGTGGTGCTGGTAGCGCCTAGTGTTGCGCGTGGCTGGATGGGACTGGGTGCATCCTCGTAAACCAGCTTGAGACGCCGTTGCTCCAATGGTTTGGGCTGCAGGCTGGGATACAGTGGCTTGGCCACATAGTCATGAGTATTGACGGTGGTGGCCGTCAGCTTGGACCTTGGCTTGGGATTGCTGCCGATCTGTCTGTTGTGTTCACTATACTGATCCTCAGCATCCTGGGCAGCCTGGGCCAGTTGCTCATCCTCCTCGTCATCGGACTCTAGAACGATCAATGAATTAACCAGCAAAGGTTCCTCGCTCTCGCGCTGGTTGGCCACTGTGGGCTCTTCTGCAATTGGCTCCGGCTTGCGAGCGATCCGTTCTTTTGGCTGTTCACGTCGCTCCGAATTGGAAATGCGACGTGACTGTATGGGCGCAGCCTTGACCGGAACTGGTTTAGCTACTGTAACTGCCTCCGGCACGGCTTGTGGCTTGCTCACTGGCTGCTGCTGCTGACGACGACGTTCGTCCTCTTTGGCATCGCTGGGATTGACGGCAATGGTGCGCCGTGCCTTACTTGCGGCTGGGGCCGCGTCTGGTTTATCCACCTGTCCAGCACTTGTAGTAGCAGCAGAAGCAGAAACAGCTGCTGGCTGCAAAGTCTCGCGACGTGCGTTGCTCTTCTTCGGGCTGCCTGCCGGCAAGGCGGCGTTGCCGCCCAGTGAGGCACGTAAACGTTTCACCAACACCTTACGACTGCTATCTGTGACTGGTATATTCGGCAATCCCTGGGCCAGCATCCGTGCACGCAGTTCGGCATTAGACAAACTGTCCAAATTATCAGTTTCAGCCATGATTTTTGTTGCCAAACACGCTTTTCACTATTCGTTGAAATTGAAAGCAGTTGCGCGTCCCTTTTTTGCGCGGTGCGATGTTAGTTAGCGATGAGCGATATGCAGAAATAATCGATTAACTTATGAATATTTGCACACAATGAACACGCGTTTCTTTTTACTGATTTTATAAAGCACTACAGATTCGGTAAAATTTATTTTATATCTGTTTTTACAAATTTTTTTTTATAGCTTTATAGAAACCGGTTTTTAATAAATTTGAAAGCAGTCTGTATATCGGATACAGATGTGGCAGCGCTACTCGATTTGAGTGTTGAATAGGTTCAAACTATAGTTACTTTTCAATTTGCAGTCAAAAATATTTTTTAGCAGGCTTTTAGGCATAGGATTTATTAGTGTGATGTTTTTGCCTAATTTTTAGTTTGATGTTTAACTTTTTGTCTATAGTTTGTATATAGTTTACTTAATTTACTACTTGTTTATATCACTTCTCTGTCATATTGCTTGTTGAAGCACAATAATTCATGAAAACGGTCAATACGTTGACCAGGGCTGCTAAAAATGGCACGGAGAAACAATGCATTTGATTGTCTGGCAGCACTGTCAGTTTTCCTGGGTTGCTTTACATCGCTAAGAGAGCTTGGACAAGTAAATGGAAAACAAACGTAAATAAAACTAAGTCTCGCTGCTAAAAAAAAACAGGAGATAATTCTAACTTGGCAGCCTATGCTTGGAGAGTCCACGTAGACATTTAGCATACACAATGGACATATCGAAGGCACCAAACCCACGCAAACTACAGCTCTGCCGCATCTACTTTCTGAGTATGACTAAACTCTCTCTCCCTCCATCTCTCGCTCACTCACTCAAAAAAAAAAAAACTTTACTTTTAGCTGGCTTTGCTTTTCTGCCCTTCGTGTGGGCCGTAAATGTTTGCTGGTTCTTTGATGAGGCGTTTCGCAAGCCGCCATACACCGAACAGACTCAAATAAAGCGCTGTAAGTGAGTGAATAGCATGCATTATATATGTATACCCTGTGTTACCTGATTTCTCCATTGCAGATGTGATATACTCAGCTATAGGGACATTCATCTGGACAATTGCACTGATCACCTGGGTTATTCTATTCCAAACGAATCGTGCGGCTTGGGGTGCCACCGCCGACTATATTAGCTTTATCATACCCTTAGGGGTCTCATGAGTCGAGTCTACTTTATGGTATTAAAATTAACAAATTGATATTAAGCTAAATAAATTACAGATAGTGTGTTGCAATGATAATAAAATATGTTGCATAATTTTGTGCTGGAATGTCAAAAATGTGTTTTTATTGCATATTCCCGAGGGCAGCGGGAGTACCTACAGACATTTGATATAAAACTGTTGCATACTTTTGTGATGAGATGTCGAAAAGTGCATTTCCATTGCATACTCTAGAGGGCAGCATTGTAAATTTAAAGAAATCTTGCCTTCGCGATCGGGGAATTTGAGCTAAATCCAACTATAGACGCATATGAGTCCTGCAAAATCGAGTTTTGTGTCAATTCACAAACTGCCCATAGTATGTGCGCGGCTCTACTGTGCATAGAGACCTGACATCTTCTTTCAGGCCGATAAGTCTTCTCCCTTCGATATCGAAGGTGTTGGAACGACTTATTGCTGTTCGGCTGGTGAGGATTATGGAAGTTCGAGGCATTATTCCAGATCACCAATTTTTATATATATATATATATATATATATAAAAACAAAAGATATTAAACTAAATAAATTAAAACACAATATACAATATATGATTATAGAGAACACTCAATTCACTTTTTAAATACATTTTTTATTCACATCTAAAGCTTATTTTTTGTTATATATATTTATATATATATATATATATATCAATATATGTGTACTATACTCTTGAAATTCTCTTACACACTAATTATGTGTTAATTCTTCCTCATAATTTGTATTAATTTTCTTTTGAATGCGAATTCGTTTCATTTTGTTGTATCGCGCTTTCGCTTCCATTTCCGCTTCGTCCACGGCTTCCAGCTGCCTTGATATAACATACAATTTCATTGTTTTAGAATGTCATAAAGTTTTGCTTGCTCTTGTTATTTGCTCGATTTTTAAAAATACATAAATATTTGTTTGTTAAAAATGTCTGCGCTTGTACCATTTTGAATAATCAACTAATCTGATGTCAGTTTTCGTTTACGTTTTCTATCCTTTGTTAATTAATGTCGTCACTACGCTGATTCCACTACGAACGAGTGAATTGAATGTTGCGATGATTGCGAAAGTGAAAAATGCAATGTGGGGAGACAAATCTAACACACACACACATACATAATTAATTTTGTTTTTTTCCTCAATTGCCTGTGAGTTCCCAATGGTATATGTGGCCGTAGTGTCACACACATGTCACATATCAATCAATCAATCAGGGAATCGCAACTAATTTACACTTTATAAAAAGTCTCGATTTAAGTTATATTTACATGCAATACTTATTTGTTTTTCACTTGTTGTTGATTGATAAATTCTAAAGAATCGGTTTTTGCTTTATAGTTTTTAGTTTGTTTTCTTTAATATAAAACATTAAGTGCCATTTAATCACGCGTGTAGTCTATGATGAAGCGGCTAGTGAGCTCTACAACAAACAGAACATTCAACTTCTGCTCCACACTTTACATTCACAATCTAGTTAATTTATATTTATATATAAATGTAAATTACACATACATATATCATATAGTAATAATAATCATAATAGTAATAATAATTAATAATTATATTTTCATCATATCATACACATACATTTATATATATATATATATTTATATATAGTATAAATATTTCAAAGTACACGCTTAGAAACATCTAAATGATTCACAAAACTAAAATAATTTTTATCTTTTGTTTGTGTGTGTTTCTTTTTCAGGGTTTTCTGCTTTTGTTTAGCGTTCTCTGAGGAGAAACTACTGGATACGAATAGTACACACATACATATACATATACAATATATATAAGTTATAGAAGAATGGGCGCGCCCTTTGTCTTTTAGATGCAAATGTCGCGCTGGCTCCATTCGCAACACAGATAAGGATTAATTAATTAATACACGATGCTAAATGCTAAATTGTAAGTGCTACGGTTTGTTTTTTCTTTTTGTTTTTGTAATTGGTAATCTGTAAACGGTAATTGGTAATTGGTAATCGATAATCGATAATAATTCGTTAAACAATATGCATTAATATTAATTATATAAATTTTTGTTTGTTTGTTTTTGTTATTTTTTTTTACAAGAAATCAACACTACAGCAGAATTCGAAACTGCTTTTGCTTCTCTTTTTGTTTTGCTACGTTTTCTTTTGTTCATGTTCGATTTACGCCTCTCTCGAATAATATATATATATACTATAATTATATTATGTTTTGTTTAATATGTATATATATATATATGCAAAATACACTTAGGAAAAACATTGTTAATTTGTAGTTTATGCTATATAATTATATCATATTTGTTATGTAGTCTAGAAATATATTCATATACATACATATACATATATGCATATATATTGTTGTTTGTTTTTTCGTTTTTTTTTTTTGTTGTATCTGGTAATAGTAGTGATAACTTAGGACTTAAACTAAATCTTTATAGTTAACACGTTAAACGAAACATACAAAAAATACTTATAAATATAAATAGTCGATTTTTGTTGTAGTTGCTTTTGTTGCTGTTGCTGTTGTTAAGTTGGGGTGCTTGGGATTGTTGTTGTTGTTGTTTTGTAACGTTTGTAAAAATATTAAATATATATCCTTTATTTATATGCTATATATGATTTATGTGCGCACGCCCAGGGCTAATAGCAAATGCATTTGGGTATTTATCAACCACTGCCTCTTCCAGTTTCGATCTCGCTCCCGATCCGCATTCGAATTCCATTCCAGCATTCCGCTAGTTGTTCTTCACATTGTAGGCCTTCTTCTCGTTGCTGCCATTCAGTGGTTCTCATTTTGTCGGACCCGGCGGAAATGGATTTATCACAGCTACTGCAGCCGCTTGTTGGCTGGCCAAAACGGCCGCTAAAAGAAAGCAACAATCATAAGCAACTGTCTTGAGACCCCTCTGAACCCTCTACTCACCTCCATAGGGCGCCGTGTACATGGGATAGCCGAGGCCGACGTGCGTATGATGGTGTGTGTGCACGTGTCGCTGCGGCGGCGGACTGCGCGAATCGGCGGCACCAGCACCACCAGCAGCACCATTGCCAGCACCGCCGCCGGCCACTCCTACAGCTCCATTGCCAGCGGGACCGCCACCGATGGGCGGCGCGCCAGGTAACGGCTGCTTGTGGGCATCGAGTGCTGCACCGGGCGCCACGCCATGCGATTTTTGGCCAGACATGTCTGGTTTGTTGGACGGCGGGCCGCCTAAGCTGCCGGGCGGTGGCTGCAGATTCAATGGAACACCGCCTGCACTGCCTGGCGCCGAGCCGGGCGGATTGGGACCCGGGCCGCCTAGCACACTGGGTCCAGAGCCGGGCCCACTGCTGCCTGGTCCGCCGCCCGGTTGCGGCAGACCCAAGCTGGGGCTGCTGACGCTGACCTTGACCGGTCCGCTGGCGCTGGTGGGAGATTTGAGAGCACGTTCGCTGAGCTCATGAATCTTGTGCGTGGTATAGTACTGGCTGGCCGCATGATGCAGTGCGTCCAGCGCCTTGGTGCCCGTATTCCGCGACAGATCCTCGGGCGCATGATAGCGCGTTATGGGCAAGTGATACGGCGGCGTATTGTATGGCCCAGCTGCGGACATCAGCACATTGCGGTACATCGGATGATTGGGATCGAAGCCAAATGGCGAAGGCGAAATGTACGAAGGATGCAAAAAGTATTGCGATGTAGGCGGTGGCGGCGGACCTTGCGTTTCCATGGTAGGTTTCTGGCCCTCCTGCTTCACCTTCAGCTGCTGCTGCTGCTGATCATCGTCGGCGGCGCTGTTGCCCTTTTGCTTGGGCGAGTCCTTGGTCAGGTTGGTCGCCTTGTTATTGGCTGCCGCATTGGCTTGCGATTGCTTAAGCTTCTGTTGTTGCTGTTGCTGCTGCTGTTGTTGTTGCTGCTGCTGTTGTTGCTGCTGCTGCTGTTGTTGCTGCTGCTGTTGTGCCTGCTGTTGCTGCTGCTGCTGGTGTTGCTGTTGCGCCTGCTGTTGCATATGCTGGTGATGCTGTTGCAACGCTTGCTGCTGATGTGCTAGCGATAGTTGCTGTTGTTGCTGTTGCTGCTGCTGCTGTTGTTGCTGCTGCTGCTGCTGTTGCGAGCTTAAGCTGGACTCATCTTTGTGCTGGGGCGGCATTCCAGGATGCGGTTGCATGCCGGAAGCATTCTGTGCCGCTGCAACAGCTGCAGCATTCTGACGCCGCTGCTGATCCGAGAACATATAGTAGCTGCCAAAGAGATAAACAAGATTATAAGTATATATACCAACTATGAGCTTCATCTGGAATTTACCGTCGCAGCTCATCCTCGCGCGCTGCTGCCGCCAGGCTCATGGAATGACGCTGATAGATGCTTGGATGATAAGCGCCCAGCGCCTGCAAATCCTTTGGATGCAGTGCATGTGGCTGCTGTGGCTGTGGCGGTGGCTGTTGTTGTTGTTGCTGCTGCTGTTGCTGCTGCTGCTGTTGTTGCTGCTGCTGCTGATGCGTTGGCGGCGGTGGCTGCTGATTGGGCTCCTGTTTGATCTCTTGTTTGATCATCGGCTCCTGTTTGATTAGCTTGTTGCTCAGCAGCTGGAAAGAAGGATTGACTTTAGTATTTTCTATAACCAGCAAGAGCTGAGCTGCATTTACCTGCTGCTGTGGCGGCATATGCTTGGGGTTATCATGCGGGCTGGGACTCTCCTTGGTGCGCTCCTCCTTGATGCTAATGCCGGCGAGTTGCTGCTGCTGCTGTTGTTGTGCCTGCGAGCTGGGTGGCAAACCAGGATGACCGCCCAGCTTGGCGGCCTCCTCGGAGGCCACAATCGAAACGGGTCCGAAATTAGGATCGACGCTGTAAGGATAGCCCGGCGGTATGAAGCTGCAAAAATAGAAGAAGTTTTGATTAAAGGCAAGATCTCTAGCTAAGAGTTAATGTTTAGCTCACTTGTAGGGATAGAAATGGCCCAGAGCCTTGGCGGGCGATGGTCCGCCTAGACCCGCTAGCCCAGCAATACCAGGAGGCAGGCCGCCAGGTGGTCCAGCCACAGCGCTGAGATT